CACCAGCACCAGCACCACCAGCACCGGCACAATCATCATCATTCATCATCATTATCATCATCATCATCATCATCATCACCATCGTCATCATCATTGTCATCGCCATCGTCGTTGTCATTGTCATCACCATTATCATCGCCAGCACCATCAGCACCAGCACAATCATCTGCATCACCATCATCACCATCATGACCACCATCATCATCAACATCATCACCATCATCACCATCATCATCATCATCACCGTCATCGTCATCGCCATTGTCATCGTCAAGAAAGAAGATAGAAAGCGTATTTTTGCGTGGTTGGATTAGGAAGCTTTCGATGACGTATTGGACCTCATTCGTGAAAAACTGCCGGATATGCTAGAAGACGAGGAGATGTGACTTGGTTGCAGTTCCCGAACATCTACCTTTTTCCCTGTGTGCGGTTGCGCGCGACGTTTAAAAATGTTTAAAGGGAGCTGACAGTTGCAAACAGAGGGCATGCTGATTGAATGTCCTGGGTCCCGGAAAAGAAAGGATGAAAATAAAGTGGAAAAAAAAGCAATTCTTCGGCATTTTGCCGACCACCAGGCTGTTTTTGGCTTCGCCTGGTCAGTTCAAAGAAAAACAAGAGCTGGTTGGTGTAAAATATGGTTGGTGCAAGGGTGGTTCGGCTAAAGCCATGTCTGGGTAGAAACTGGTCTGCGCAAAAACTGGTGTAAGTGTGGTTAGTGTAAAAGGTGACAGTGTGCAAAAACAAATTTGTGTAAGAAATGGTTTGTGTAGCGCTTGCTGTAAGAGAGTGTTTGTGCAGAACCTTTGAAGATGAAGATGATGAGGACGATGCCGTGGACGATGAAAATATAAAGAGACTTGAAGAGATGACACTGTATTGAGCCACAGTATATTGGTTTGTAGATCCAGGTCCAAGCAGCATGGCTGTCGGAGCAACGAAAGACAAGGCGGAGATGGGATGACGAAGGAAGATGAAGGAAGAGAATAGAAGAGGAGGAGGAGCAGGATGATGATGATGATGATGATGAAGATGACGATGGTGATGATGAGGGTGCCATGAGGACGATGATGACCTAGACGAGGATGAGTGTGCTGGACAGACCATATATACACACTAGACTAGATTAGACTATACTATAGTATATGCGTGGGGGGGAGCAGTCTATAGGTGAAACCAAAGGTATCACAAGGTTTGTAACAAGAACATCCATAAAACACCCCGGCACGCTGGCGGATTCATATACCCCCACCCGGCTTGGATTACGGAAAGCGTTTCCAACGCTTGGAAGTTTTTCCGGTAGGTGAAAAGGGGGGGGTGTGGGGGGGGGCGGTACAGATTACGGAAAGCGTTTCAAACGCTTGGAAGTTTTTCCGGTAGGTGAAAAGGGGGGGGGTGTGGGGGGGCTGTACAGATTTGCAGATTTTGGGGTTCCAAATGGGTGTTGAGGAGGTGCAAAAAACACTGTAAATTAGAGTAAAATTTGCTCTTTGGGGAGAATTGCAAGGAGTCAAGTTGCTGCAAAAAGTGCGTTTTACCTGCACGAGAGCCAAATTTTGTCGTTTTTGTTGTTTCGAGGGAGGTGGGCCTAAAAACGTGCTATGTGTAAAAACATTGCAAATACCGTGAAAAACTGGCTTCTTTGCACTTTGATGTCCTTTCTTCGTTCTACATAGTCCCACGACGGCGCAACATAGCCCCAAGATAGGCCAACACAAAGCCAAGATGTCCCAACATAGAACCCAGGAACGTCCAACATAGTCCCAAGATGGGGCAACATAGGCCCAAGACGACCCAACAAAAGATGGCCTCAAGATAGGCCAACAGAGAGCCAAGATGGCGCAACATTGACCTCAGCAACACCCAACATACTCCCAAAATGGGGGCCAACATAGGCCCAAGACGTCCCAAGATGGTCCAACGTAAATCTAAAATAAAGTAAACGTAGGCCCGAAGCAACCCGGGGGAGCCAAGATGGGCCAAAGACAACCCAACGAAACCCAGCATAGGCCCAAGACAACTCAACAAGACCAAACATAGTCCCAACAAAAATAAAGTGAACTTAGGCCCAAACAACCCAACAGTAGCTGCAACAAATCAGTTTTCATGTGCCTTTGGCTGTATTAGTTTTTCTCCTCTAGAAAAGGGGCTACTGGGGAAGGACGGTGTAGGTGAGTGCGAGGGCCCGGTTTGACGAGTGTTTGGCCGCTGCATCCACTTGGTTCAGAAATAAAGTGACCGTAGCAACCCAACAGGAGCTGCAACAAATAAGTTTTCACGTGCGTTTGGCTATATTAGTTTTCCTCCTGTAGAAAAGGGCGGAGTGGGGGAGGACGGTGTAGGTGAGTGCGGGGGCCCGGTTTGACGAGTGTTTGTCCGCTGCATCCACTTGGTTCAGAGTTCAAACATAAACCCAAAAGAAAGTGAACGTAGGTCCAAAGCAACCCAACAGTTTACGGAAAGCGTTTCAAACGCTTGGAAGTTTGCCGGTAGGTGAAAAGGGGGGGTGTGGGGGGGCGGCGCAGATTTGCAGATTTTGGGGTTCCAAATGGGTGTTGAGGAGGTGCAAAAAACACTGTAAATTACAGTAAAATTTGCTCTTTGGGGAGAATTACAAGGAGTCAAGTTGCTGCAAAAAGTGCGTTTTACCTGCACGAGAGCCAAATTTTGTCGTTTTTGTTGTTTTGAGGGAGGTGGACCTAAAACGTGCTATGTGTAAAAAACATGGCAAATACCGTGAAAAACTTGCTTGGAAACATGTTTTCATACAACTTTTGCACTTTGATGTCCTTTCTTCGTTCTACATAGTCCCAAGACGGCGCAACATAGCCCCAAGAATCCCCAAGATAGGCCAACACAGAGAGAGCCAAGATGGCCCAACATAGAACCCAGGGACGCCCAACATAGTCCCAAGATGGGCCAACATAGGCCCAAGACGACCCAACAAACCCCAACATAGTCCCAACATAGTCCCAAGATGGTCCAACATAAACCTAAAATAAAGTGAACGTAGGCCCGTAGGCCCGAAGCAACCCCGGGGAGGCAACATAGTCCCAAGATAGGCCAAAGACAACCCAACAAAACCCAGCATAGGCCCAAGACAACTCAACAAAACCCAACCTAGTCCCAACATAGTCCCAAGATGGGCCAACATAGACCCAAAATAAAGTGAACATAGACCCAAAGCAACCCAACAGTAGCTGCAACAAATAAGTTTTCACGCGCGTTTGGATATATTAGTTTTCCTCCTGTAGAAAAGGGGGGAGTCGGGGGGGACGGTGTAGGTGAGTGCGGGGGCCCGGTTTGACGAATGTTTGGCCGCTGCATCCACTTGGTTAAGAGTTCATGCACTCACAGTACGAGCAACACAGCAACAAACGGAACATACTAGCATATTGCGAGATGCACCGCAAAGAACAGCACCAACAACATCAACAACCTCAACAGCACAACAACCTCTAAGACAACGAGAACAGAAACAAGAACAACCAGAAGCACAACAAGAACACCAGCAAGAACAAGATTGGCACCAACATAGTCCCAAGATGGGCCAACATAGACCCAAAATAAAGTGAACGTAGGTCCAAAGCAACCCAACAGTAGCTGCAACAAATAAGTTTTCACGTGCGTTTGGCTATATTAGTTTTCCTCCTGTAGAAAAGGGCGGAGTGGGGGAGGACGGTGTAGGTGAGTGCGGGGGCCCGGTTTGACGAGTGTTTGTCCGCTGCATCCACTTGGTTCAGAGTTCAAACATAAACCCAAAAGAAAGTGAACGTAGGTCCAAAGCAACCCAACAGTAGCTGCAACAAATAAGTTTTCATGTGCGTTTGGCTATATTAGTTTCCCTCCTCTAGAACAGGGGGGAGTGGGGGAGGACGGTGTAGGTGACGAGTGTTTGGCCGCTGCATCCACTTGGTTCAGAGTTCATGCACTCACAGTACGAGCCACCAAGCAACAAACGGAACATTGACGGAAAGCGTTTCAAACGCTTGGAAGTTTGCCGGTAGGTGAAAAGGGGGGGTGGGGGAGGCGGCACAGATTTGCAGATTTTGGGGTTCCAAATGGGTGTTGAGGAGGTGCAAAAAACACTGTAAATTACACTAAAAACCGCTTTTTGGGCAGAATTACAAGGAGTCAAGTTGCTGCAAAAAGTGCGATTAACCAACACGAGAGCCAAATTTTGTCGTTTTTGTAGTTTCGAGGGAGGCGGACCTAAAACATGCTATGTGTAAAAAACATTGCAAATACCGTGAAAAACAGGCTTGGAAACATGTTTTCATAATTACAACTTTTGCACTTTGTCTTTTCTTCCTTCTACAACGAGCAGATGTGAAGATGAGCAGGTGTGAAGATGAGCAGGTGTGAAGATGAGAAGATGTGAAGATGAGCAGATGTGATGAGCAGATGTGATGAGCAGATGTGAAGATGAGCAGATGTGAAGATGAGAAGGTGTGAAGATGAGAAGGTGTGAAGATGAGAAGGTGTGAAGATGAGAAGGCGTGAAGATGAGAAGATGAGATACAGACCCCCACTATTGGAAGAACCCTGCGCTCAGACGCTCTCGGGAATAAAGTGAACTTAGGCCCAAACAACCCAACAGTAGCTGCAACAAATCAGTTTTCATGTGCGTTTGGCTGTATTAGTTTTCCTCCTCTAGAAAAGGTGTAGGTGAGTGCAAGGGCCCGGTTTGACGAGTGTTTGGCCGCTGCATCCACTTGGTTCAGAAATAAAGTGACCGTAGCAACCCAACAGGAGCTGCAACAAATAAGTTTTCACGTGCGTTTGGCTATAGTAGTTTTTTTCCTCCGGTGTAGGCCCTGGGGGGGGGGGGCGGTACAGATGACGGAAAGCGTTCAGTAAAAAACTGCCCTTTGGGGAGAATTACAAGGAGTCAAGTTGCTGCAAAAAGTGTGTTTTACCTGCACGAGAGCCAAATTTTGTCGTTTTTGTAGTTTCGAGGGAGGCGGACCTAAAACGTGCTATGTGTAAAAAACACTGCAACTACCGTGAAAGACAGGCTTGGAAACATGTTTTCATACAACTTTTGCACTTTGATGTCCTTTCTTCGTTCTACATAGTCCCAAGACGGCGCAACATGGCCCCAAGATAGGCCAACACAGAGCCAAGATGGCCCAACACAGAACCCAGGAACGCCCAACATAGTCCCAAGATGGGCCAACATAGGCCCAAGACGACCCAAAAAAACCCAACATAGTCCCAAGATGGCCCCCAGATAGGCCAACACAGACCCAAGATGGCCCAACATTGAACTCAGGAACGCCCAACATAGTCCCAAGATGGGCCAACATAGGCCCAAGACGACCCAACAAACCCCAACATAGTCCCAACATAGTCCCAAGATGGTCCAACATAACCTTAAAGAAAAGTGAACATAGGCCCGAAGCAACCCCGGGGAGGCAACATAGTCCCAAGATGGGCCAAAGACAACCCAACAAAACCCAGCATAGGCCCAAAACAACTCAACAAAACCCAACCTAGTCCCAACATAGTCCCAAGATGGGCCAACATAGACCCAAGATAAAGTGAACATAGGCCCAACGCAACCCAACAGTAGCTGCAACAAATAAGTTTTCACGTGCGTTTGGCTATATTAGTTTTTCTCCTCTAGAAAAGGGGGGAGTGGGGGAGGACGGTGTAGGTGAGTGCGGGGGCCCGGTTTGACGAATGTTTGGCCGCTGCATCCACTTGGTTAAGAGTTCATGTGACATTAATTAGGACAGTACGAGCAACAAAGCAACAAACGGAACATACTAGCATATTCCGAGACGCACCGCGAAGAACAGCACCAACAACATCAACAACCTCAACAGCACAACAACAACCTCTACGACAACGAGAACAGAAACAAGAACAACCAGAAGCACAACAAGAACACCAGCAAGAACAAGATTGGCACCAACATAGTCCCAATATGGGCCAACATAAACCCAAAATAAAGTGAACGCAGGTCCAAAGCAACCCAACAGTAGCTGCAACAAATAAGTTTTCACGTGCGTTTGGCTATATTAGTTTTCCTCCTCTAAAAAAGGGGGGAGTGGGGGAGGACGGTGTAGGTGAGTGCGGGGGCTTGGTTTGACGAGTGTTTGGCCGCTGCATCCACTTGGTTCAGAGTTCATGCACTCACAGTACGAGCCACCAAGCAACAAACGGAACATTGACGGAAAGCGTTTCAAACGCTTGGAAGTTTGCCAGTAGGTGAAAAGGGGGGTAAGGGGGGGCGGCACAGATTGCAGATTTTGGGGAACCAAATGGGTGCCCAGGAGGTGCAAAAAACACTGTAAATTACAGGAAAAACTGCTTTTTGGGCAGAATTACAAGGAGTCAAGTTGCTGCAAAAAGTGCGTTTTACCTGCACGAGAGCCAAATGTCGTCGTTTTTGTTGTTTCGAGGGAGGCGGACCTAAAACGTGCTATGTGTAGAAAACACTGCAAATACCGTGAAAAAACTGGCTTGGAAACATGTTGTCATACAACTGTTGCACTTTGATGTCCTTTCTTCGTTCTACGCCGTCCCAAGACGGCGCAACATAGCCCCAAGATAGGCCAACACAGGGCCAAGATGGCCCAACATAGAACCCAGGCAGGCCCAACATAGTCCCGAGATGGGCCAACATAGGCCCAAGACGACCCAACAAAACCCAACATAGTCCCAACATAGTCCCAAGATGGCCCAACATAAACCAAAAATACAGTGAACATAGGCCCAAAGCTACCCCGGGGGGGCAACATAGTCCCAAGATGGGCCAAAGACAACCCAACAAAACCCAGCATAGGCCCAAAACAACTCAACAAAACCCAACCTAGTCCCAAGATGGGCCAACATAAGCCCAAAATAAAGTGAACATAGGCCCAAAGCAACCCAACAGTAGCTGCAACAAATAAGTTTTCACGCGCGTTTGGCTATATTAGTTTTCCTCCTGTAGAAAAGGGGGGAGTGGGGGGGGACGGTATAGGTGAGTGCGGGGGCCCGGTTTGACGAATGTTTGGCCGCTGCATCCACTTGGTTAAGAGTTCATGTGCTCACAACGACATTAAGACAGTACGAGCAACAAAGCAACAAACGCAACATACTAGCATATTCCGAGACGCACCACGAAGAATAGCACCAACAACATCAACAACCTCAACAGCACAACAACCTCTAAGACAACGAGAACAGAAACAAGAACAACCAGAAGCACAACAAGAACACCAGCAAGAACAAGATTGGCAAAAAGCAGCGTCACGGTCACATCTACTCAAATTATAGATCACCATTGTGTTGCGTACAATACACTCTACACTACTGCTACCTCCAATCGACTCCTCATACGCACTATATAGATACACCTATGGCATCCAGCACATGCTGCTTCCAGCGCCGTCTCACCACTTCCCACAGTTCCCGCGCCATCGAAAAACAACATGGTGCCAATGCATGTCACATACTGGCACGCTTTCCGTTTTTTTCCGAACTGGTTTGCAGAAGCAGGCGACGTGTCACTTGAGTCACTATGAATCACTTGAAGTCATAGCAGGTGATGAGACAATGAATATCATGTGAAATGTGCAAAGCACAGAAACGACATGAAACGAATGTGCCAGTTCGGCCCAAGCCTGAGGAGCTTGGCAGGCCTAGTCAGGGTCGATGGGGCTCGGGCTAGCACCGTGCAAGAGGCCGGGTGGACAGTGACGAAGTTGGGAGCTCTCAAGGGGGTCACTCCGATGTGGTGGACGCAATCGTCCTGGGGATAGAGATCCTCAACCCGGACCTCAAGGTGAATAGGACTGAGTTCGAGGAGCTGATAGAAGCTGCGGACTCAGCCGCTCAGTGCATATGGGCGGGTGCACGGAGGGGTCACCGACAGCGAGCTCTCCATGATCAGCCGCATGGAGAAGATGAAAAGAAAGCTCGACGAGCTGAGGAAGCAGAAGATAGAGGAGATCAATGCAAAGGTGCCCAGAAAGGGAACGGCACCCCGGGATCAATGGCCAACACGCCTTGGAAAGAAGTTGGCAGAGGCAGGAGACAATATGCAGCTTAGAGCTGCCGCAGAAAAATCAGGAGAGAGAGAAGTGGCTAAAAGAGCTGAGGCATCTCGAGGCATCTGATCACTGTGGGACTGGGAGGAAGTTCCGATCAAGTGGATGCCATCACGAGGTTTGAGGAAGCATGTGAAGGTGTGGGTCCGGTTCATGGACTGGTTGGTGGCATCCTTCCAGCTGCATTGGCCGGTCTCAGCCGCCCAGGTGGCCCTGTACCTAGAGACAAGGGCATCGGAACCATGCGGGAAATCAATGCCGTTGAGTATACTAAAGACACTGATCTTCATGGAGCATGCAGCGGAGATACCACTGGCAGTTGAACAAGCAGCCCGCAGTCAAGAATGCTATGGAGGAGGTCACCTTGATGTTGGAAAATGCAAAGGTGACGGAAAAGAGGCAAGCGAGATTGCTGCCTCTATCGGTGATCTCAGCCATGGAAGAGGCTGTGATGAATACGGAGCTGGCCAGGTATGTCAGAAGCTACGCCTGGTACAGACTGCTGAAGGTATGGGGCGCCATGAGGTACCACGACACCTTAGGTGTGGACTTCGGCACCATCAAGCTGGACGAGAGCGGCTTGGTGTGCACGCTGAAGAGAACAAAGACGACAGGACCGGAAACAGATTATAGAAGAGCCGATGACAGGCGTAAGGGCGGTGGAAGCAGACCCTGTGGACGCCTTCCGTAGCGATGCAAAAGCGGAAGGAGAGGAAGTCGTCATAGGAGGCTGGGAATCCCATGATGGAGGGCGTACGGAGGGAGCCAGGTGGTTCTCCGTGCGTTTGACCAGAAAGAACGCGCCGTGGGTATTCCTGAAGGGAGGGCCCTTCAGGAACATAGTGGCGTTGGAGCTGACGCCGGTACTAGTGGCCATTATGGCGTTTGGCAAGGAGGCCAAAGAGAGATGCGGGAGGGCAAGCATGAGATTGACAGCGTTGACGGACAACGTCTCGATAGCATATGTGCTGAAGCAGTATCTCTCATGCAGGTTCCCGTTATCGGTGGTACTGCTAGAGCTGTCGTGCAAATTGAAGAGAATTGGCATGGAATTGGATCTGCATTGGGTGCCGAGAGGCCAAAACGTTCCTGCCGACAGCCTCACAAATGGCAGGTTCGAAGGATTCTCAAAGGAGGAGAGAATTCATTTAGACTTTGTGAAGATGGAGTTTATTGTCCTGCTCGAGCTCGTCAAGAAAGCTGGAGAGCTTGACGAGGAGATCAGGATGATCAAGTCATCGAAAGAAGGCAAGCAGGACAAGCACATGGGTAAGAGAAAGAGAGGTGAAACCAAATGGAAGGATCCATGGTAGACCAGACAGATCTACTAAAGTGGGGCATCAAAGATATGTCTGGTGGTGGCCGATGTGGCGGGCGGATGAGCACCCATCACGAAAGATCAGACCCGCTGCGCAACCCGCAAAAGATAAAGCGTGCTGAATGTAGTGCAGTGTCGTGAAATGTGCAAAGCACAGAAACGACATGAAACGAATGTGCCAGTTCGGCCCAAGTTTTCTCACCCTCCACCTTCCCCATACACCTCCAAGCGAGAGGGGCATCAAAGATATGTCTGGTGGTGGCCGATGTGGCGGGCGGATGAGCACCCGTCACGAAAGATCAGACCCGCTGCGCAACCCGGAAAAGATAAAGCGTGCTGAATGTAGTGCAGTGTCTGTTATTGTTTTGCTTACAGCATGCAGATGTTGTTCCATTCCATGGTAATATATTATATAATATTATATATATGCATGTTTGTCCAGTTGTCTGAACCTGTGTCTGCTCAACCGCCGTTCATCATGTTTAGTGCCGGGTGATTTTTCTGGTCGTTACTGGGCGAGCCTATGCACGACTAGGGTAAATCATGGTAAATCGAATCATCAGACTTTTAGCTGCTAGGATTTCTTCTGTCGCAGGGGCAACATCTTGGCTTCCAAACTCTTCCCTTCAGGCGGATGATTAGGGTCTCCGTCATAAGTAAAGGTCCAAGATCTTGAGTCCAGAGCCAGGCTTGCGAGGTTTCCTGCAAGGAGGTTCGCAATGGAAGCTGGGCTTCGAAGCTGAGCTTCAAGGTTCCACAGGGCAGGGTCTCCTCCAACAAGGGTCTTCAAACTTCAAACGCAGGTTTTCAAAGGCAAGGTTTCAACAACGATGCTTGGTTGAGGACGGAAGGGATGTAGGCCATTCGCATGAGCGAGCGTGGGCAAACAGAAAGTGTGCACGGAAGGGAGTGGACGGAAATGGGTAGGGATATGAGCTGGTGGGCTTTACTGGTAGTGGGCGTGAAGGGAGTGTGGGTGAAGAGAGAGCGGAGAAATGTGCATGGGGTTGTAGGCTGGTGGTCATGAGTGAGGCTAGGTCGGCTAGGTGGACGGAGAGTGTGACGGACGGCAGGCGATGGAAGGAATAAGTGAGGATATGGGCTGGTGGGCACAGTGTTGACAGAAAGGAGTGGCTGCTGTCGTCGTATGCAGTGGCAGGCGGGTACTGAAAGATTGTCAGAGGATAATACATACATACATGCATACATACATGCATACATACATACGTACGTACACACATACATACATAATCATACATACATAATCATACATTCATACATACATACATACATACATACACAGACAGACAGGCAGGCAGACAGACATACATACATACATGCAGACACACATACAGACACACATACAGACACACATACAGACATACAGACATACAGACATACAGGCATACGGACATACGGACATACGGGCATACGGGACATAGGGACAGACAGACAGACAAGCAGACAGACGGACAGACAGACAGACAGACATACAGACATATAGACATACATACATACATAAATACATACATACATACAGACATACATACATACATAGATACATAGATACATAGATACATAGATTCATAGATAGATACATACGTACGTACATACATACATGCAATCCCTCCCCCCTTTGCTAATGTACGGTAGGGGGGGGCCTAGCTAATGTACGATACTTTTCCGTACATTTCTCAAAGGCTTACCATATGATTCCGTACATTTTTTTTGGGGGGGCGCAAACTCACCAGAACCAATTTCTATACATCCAGTGTTTATTCCTGTTCCAATTTCCACTTGATAAGGCCAACATGCGTAAACAATCACTATCTTTATATCGTTGGTGTGCCAGCATTGTTGGCTACCAATTGTTGGACTATAGCAAAAAATCAATATTTTGATACGTTCAGCTTTACCTTGTGGAGTGATTGCATAGAACCGCAGCAGCGTTTGGCTGCCAATTTTTTTGGGGTGGCAAAATGCCATGGGTGGCACCTTAGCTAACTAATACAGATACCCCCGTCAGTTCCAGGATTAATTTCATTGGATTAATTTAGTTGGATGAATTTTTGGTGACCGGTTCAGAAATCTAACTCAAGGGATATTTGGATTAATTTGCAGTGCCTCCGTTAGAGCAATGGCTCTGGAGAAACCACGGCAGCAACCAGCGCATTGCTTGTTCCCAACATGCAGCTGGGCACTGGAAAGACATGGAAAGAATTATATCTGAATTGTCACTCACCCTTTTCATTCTTTTGTTGGAGGATTTTGACGCCTTACACCTGCAGATTTGACATGATGCGGGATGATGCGGAAAGATGTTGTTTGTTGAGCATGCTGATTCTTAGTGCTAGTTTGTTGGTGTTTCTGCTTTGTGTTAGAGGTTGCCAGGTGCATGGGGCTCCTCAAGCGGACCCAGTTGAGTGTTTTTATTTTTGTGGCCGAGGTATCGGCAAAATGCGGCCCGCGGTCTGGAACGAGAAATACTCTATCTATGTGTGCCACTGCGAATCTTGGCATACGTGTTGGGCACACTACCATTGGAGCGCGGGTTGAGCAGGTGAAAGGTTTTCTGCGCAAAGACCTAGAGACTTGGGATATCTTGGGATGATTTGGCCCTTCTGGGATGACTCAGGGAGGCTTGGTGTCTGCCGTGTTTTTCAAATCAGTTGGCTGGCAACGACTCTGCAGGACAGTTCTTCGGTGACTTTTTGCAGGGGCATCGGCGTCCATCCGCTCATTGCGCTGTGTGGCACAGATGACAATGGATCAAGTCCCATACTCTGTCGAGAACTATGAAGGACCTACAGTCAGAATCTAGTTCAAAGTGATCACATTTATGCAGGGCATTTATTTTTTAAGCTGGCAGTCTTTAAGGACTCAGAGGCTTAGACTTCTCGGAAACTTTCCCCACTGATACAGACAGTGAATATTTTAATTTGGTGTTCAGGAGAACTGAAAGACTACCAGATTATTTTCCATTGGCAACGGTGAGCTGAGGAACGGCCATCTGAGCAAACAGGTGTGCAAACTTCTGCGCTCGCTGAACCTGCCACGGGGACTACAGATCACAAACATGAGGCCTTGACTTCCAATGGAACTTTTCCTTTTATTGCTGGGAGTGAGCTGAAACAAATAGGCTA